CTCCTTGAGAAGAGACTTCCCTGAGGAGATGGGACTCTGCTGGGGAAGGAGAAGGGTCTTCCCTGCCAGGCTGACAAACCTTGAGAAGGGAATGGCCTCAGAACTCCTGCACTGAGGAGTCTGCCCTGAGGAGAAGGGTCTTCCCTGCCAGGCTGACAAACCTTGAGAAGGGAATGGCCTCAGAACTCCTGCACTGAGAAGAGGAATCTGCCCTTTACCGTTCTCCCAAATCTGGGAGGAATCCCCTCTGCCAGGCTAACAGCCTCCCTGAGGACAAGGAGAGAGGAGCTTCCCTGGGATCCCTTCCCTGAGCAGAGGGGACATTCCCTGCCAGGCTGACACTGTCCCTGAGGACAAGGGACTTCCCTGGGGACCATTCCCTGCAGAGAAGGGTCAGTTCCTCAGATTTCCCCCAGGCYAGTTCCCTGAGGAAAAGGGTCTTCCCTGCCAATCTGAGGTGGTCCCCACTGTCAACGGCCCTCCCAGGGTCCATTCCCTGAGGAGAGGGGTCTTCCCTGCCAGGCCAACTCCCTCCTTGAGGAAAAGGGACTTGCCACAGGCCCTTCCTCTTAGGATAAGGCCAGGCTGATGCCATGACCCTCCTCCTAGTGCTGCCCCCTGGACTCTGAGGAGCAGACCTTCTCTCTCCAGGGCAGACCTGCAGTCCYTGCAGAGACGAGCCTCTTCTGCCAGACTGACGTGATTCCTGAGGAGAGGCATCTTCCCTGAAACACTTCAAACACTTGTGTTATGTCCTTTATCCCCATTCCCCTCCCCAAGCTGAAATTGTCCTTGCTCATTCCATCTCTCTATGCCAGTGGAAGTGGCCACCAAGGCCAACCCATGGGATGGGAAGACGCTGAAGCCAGAGAGTGTGCGCTCCCAGCTGGACACRTCCCTGGAGAGGCTGCAGAGGAAGAGTGTGGAGCTCTTCTACCTCCACGCTCCTGACCACGGGACCCCGGTGGAGGAGACCCTGCGTGCCTGCAATGAGCTGCACAAAGAGGTAAAATGCAGAGTCCAGGCCTGGACAGTCCTTGATTCCTTCCTTCCCACCGCTTTTTTTTTAAACCAGAGCTGCTGTTGTGCCCATCTGCAGTGCTGTGTTTGTGCAGCTCTGGGAGGAGACAGAGCCCAGGGCAGAGCTGAGCAGCCATTGCTCTGTGTGTGTTCATGTGATGCACTTTGTTCCCAAGAGCTCTCGGAAGTGTTGGAACATCTGAACTTTGCTTCCAGCCCTGTTGACTGTCTGGGTTACGATTAGTGCTGGTAATGGGGGAAGAATTCCTGAGTTGCATCAGTCTAGTTAACACCATTTAAATTAGAATTCCAAATGAGCAGAAAATGGGAAGTGTTTTTGTCAGATTTTAGTTTGTTTAGTTTGTTTTAGTTTAGTTTGTCAGAAAAGGTGGACAGGGATTAACCCTCCTGGACTAAAACTGGGTGACTGTCCTTTTYACTGTACCCATCTTGTGCTGTCTGTGCCTAGATGAACTTTGAAACACCGTAACTGAATTTCCTTTTATTCCTCTGCAGGGAAAGTTTAAAGAGCTTGGCCTGTCAAACTATGCCGCATGGGAGGTGGCAGAGATCTGTGCCATCTGCAAGTACAACAACTGGGTGATGCCAACGGTGTACCAGGTGAGGGAGGGGGAGAATCTTGGATTTGAGCTCCCCAAATTTGGGACCAACCACCAGTGTGCCAGATACAAACACAGACAAGGAATCTGCTGCGGTTAGTCTGGAAGTCACAGAGTCAATGAGGCTGGAAAAGACCTCCAGTCCAAGCTGTCTCTGATCCCTACCTTGTCACCCAGCCCAGGGCACTGAGTACCATGTCCAGACGTTCATTGGATGCTTCCAGGGATGCCACCACCTCCCTGGGCAGCCCTTTCCAGTGCCTCACCACCCTCTCAGTGAGGAAATTAAGGAAGCTGAACGAGGTCGCTGCTCAGAAACAGCTCAGTGTGTTCATTGCTGGAGTCAGTGACTCCCCTGACACAGAATTTAAATCATTTGCAGTCCTTCAGCGAGTCTGTTTCTGAACAAACCCTAACCTTGTGTGACGTGAAGCTGGTTTCCCTGATGGGTATTGCCAGGGAAGAGTGGGACAAGGAGGCTGCTCTGCTCTGAGCTCTGTTTGAGGTGTCTCCCACCCCGTGCAGGGAATGTACAACGCGACCACGCGCCAGGTGGAGGCTGAGCTGTTCCCCTGCCTGAGGCACTTCGGGCTGCGCTTCTACGCCTACAACCCRCTGGCAGGTACAGGGGGCAAGGGCAGGCTTTGGGACAAAACCCTGTGGAATGGGGGCTGTGCMGGGCCAGCCCATCCCAAACCTGCTGCTCCCTCCCTTCACAGGGGGGCTGCTGACCGGCAAGTACAAGTACGAGGACAAGGACACACGCCAGCCCACTGGGAGATTTTTTGGGAATGACTGGGCACAGGCCTACAGGGACAGGTATGTCCTGAGCTGACAGACAAGCAGGAATGACTCCATTAAAAATCCATTCTATTAGTCAGCTGAGAGGAAACAGAATTGACCAAAGTTTGGGATTATGTCAGCACACGTGGCTGGGGCTGTGRTGTGTGACTGAGCTCTAGGTGGTTTTTAGGCTCAGCTTCCTCACAACTCCAGGGGAGATTGCAGAAGTCCTTGGAGGCTGTGAAGAGTTCTRTGAGGCTTTCTGAAAGCCTTTTGGGTGGAATATAGATGTAAAACCRACTAGAGGTCCCAAGGGCAATAAGAATGATTTCTTTTCATGCAGGTACTGGAAAAAACACAATTTTGAGGGAATTGCACTGATAGAAAAAGCTCTGAAGGAGGCTTACGGCTCCAATGCGCCCAGCCCGGCATCTGCTGCACTGCGCTGGCTCTACAACCACTCCAAACTGCAGGTGAGAGCTTGACCTGGRCACTGCTGCCAGSRCTGGGSASTGCTGCCAGGGCTGGGCACTGCTGCYGTGGCTCACTAACAGGGAWATTTCASTGTAGGTATCTTTTAATCCCATGGGATTGTGGCATTCCAAAGTGAATATTGGCTGTACACTTTGCCAGACAGCAGAAGTGAGGCAGCTGCACCCTTTCCCATGGTATCCCATGAGGTCAGGATTGGAAGAAGTGGAAAATTTTAGGTGCCAGTTACTGGGGTCTTGGGTTCTCCACACTCAGCTTCCTTGCAAGAAGAGGACTCACGATTCATTGGACTAAGAAACTAATGCTTGGTATTCCCCATCTCCCCTGMATGTTCCTGTAGCCCATCATAAAGTAGGATTTGGCAGCTTTTGAGGAGTTGGCGTGATTTGGGGATGTCCTGTGCAAAATTTTGTGGTGTCAGTGCCTAATTCTGGAAGTTCTTTAGAGTAAAGAAACGCTTAGTTCGGCCCGCAGTAGCCTGGGAGGTGAACGACATTTCTTTAGGCATCAGCAACACGTCCCATCTCTGTGCAGGGTTCTCTTGGAGATGCGGTGATCATCGGGATGTCCAACCTGGAGCAGCTGGAGCAGAACCTGAACTACAGCGAGGAGGGTCCCCTGCTGCCGGCCGTGGTGCAGGCGTTTGAYGAGGCCTGGAACATGAGCGCACACGACTGCCCCAACTACTTCCGCTAGGGAAGGCCTGGAACACCCAGCTCAGCTCTGCAARCAGAAGAGGTACTCCCCACCCTGCCCTCTCATCCACGTGGGGACAGGTGGAGGATTTTTCCTGAATCAGTGAAGCTTTGTAGGATCCACACCYGTGCCTTAGTCATTCCTCCCTCCCAGCCCCTCAGCTCCCCCAGCACAACCCGTGATTCAGGATGCAGCTGATCAGGAAAATGAACGTGTTAATGGGGTCAAGACCCCTGTTCTGATTTAATGTGAAATCTTAAATGATTACATACAAGAATAAAACCTCTTTATAATGCAGACCTCATCTGTGCCTGGAACCTGGCATCTCTTTGGCATCACCTGRAGACTGGGAATCTCAGCATTACACAATGGTTTGGGTTGGAGAATCCTTAAATCTCATCTGATTCCACCCCCTGCCATTGACAGGGACACCTTCCTCTATTCCAGGTTGCTCCAAGTCCCATCYAACCTGGCATTGCACAAGTCTAGGGATGAGGCAAAATTCCAAGGATTGAGCTAAAAATCTTCTGTCAGAATAACCAACCTTCAACATCTTTCCCATKGTGCCRTATCAGAGTTGCATTACATTTCCACCCTTTCTGCCCAATTTTCATGTCTGAGGTGGCATTTCCTCAAATCCCWRGATACACCAACAGTAACAGGCAGCAGTAAYAACCATCTGAAGTTTTACATAGATATTTATATAAATATAAAAAAAAAGTACAGTTAGGTCATTTTATATAAAGATCATCCCAGTCCAGGTGCACCCAGGGAAAGGAAATAGCCTCCTCTTTTTGTCCCTAAAACAGAACTGTCTGGATCCCAGCTGTTAGTCCTCATTGCTGCCATCATCRTCATCCTCCTCTTCCTCCTCTTTCTCCTCCTCCTCTTCTGTGTCTCCCACAAGCTTCTGGAAGTCTCCAGTCTCAGAATTCCACAGAAATTTCATAGTAACTTTAAACTCTGCCATCTCRTAGCCAAAGAGTTTCTAGGAGAGAACACAAATCTGTCACTCCTGCTTTACTGCCTCCATGCCCAGCTTAGCAAAACAGTAAATTCTGCTTTCAGGTGGGAAGTGCAGCAAAGCAGGAGCCAAAATAATTGCTGCTGAGTTTCAGGAGTTGTGTGAAATATTTTGTGTTGGGAACCAGGGCTCTTGTGTTACTCACCAGCACACGTGCCTGTTCTGGGGTGAGAACATCCCCTTCCTTGCACACTTCGTAATCCGAAAGCAGCGTCACCACTCCTGCAGAGCAAAACCCCTGGAAATAGGCTCCCAGGTACTGGGAACTGCCCTGGAACGTGGGGGCAGAGCCAGGACTCCCTCCAGCCCTTGGAGCTGACACCTTCCCTTGCAGTATCAGTGCACCCCGAGGAGATGGGTGAGATCAGCTCTAAAACCCCACACTAGCTCCTGAGTGGGTTAACCCCATCTGTTTCCACTGGAAAAGGATGGTGGTGTGGAGAAATCYGGGTGTTTCTTAACCTTTGGCATGAGTTTTTTCTTAACCTTTRACGTGAGTTTGGGAACAACAGCACAAGAAAGACATGAGGAGTTCTAGCCCCAGCCCACCAAGGAGAAAGTTGTCCCTCAGGTTTTCTCCAGACCCAAATCTTACTCTATATTTAATGTTCTCCATAGAATGTTCTCCTGCTCAGACAAAAGCTGGAGCTGACCCTCCCAGCCCCTGCTGTACCTTTCTTCAGCGCCGTGGGCAGTCCCAGCTGCCGCAGTTGTGGCTCCATGGAGTGGGGGAACTGCTCCAGGGGCCCCGTGTCCAGGCTCACCCCGTAGGGTGCCTTGTTCCCAGCACGGGCAAAGTCCACCTCCCGGAACTTGGAGAACCATCTGGGACAGAGATGGGCAACAAGAGCTTCAACTGGGGGAAATAAGGATTGGGGCACAGCCTGCCCTGAATTCTGGTGTTACTTAGAGAGGTTGTGACTGCCCCATTCCTGCAAGTGTCCAACGGGGTAGAATGAGATGAGCTTTAAGGACCCTCCCAACTCAAACCCTTCCRTGATTCCACCCTGCTATCGCAGGAATGGTTGACAAAGATGAGTGGAAAAGCCCTGCGAGATCATCCCTGTTTTAAGGGAAGCAGCATGGGGTGAAGGGCTTTTATGGCAACAAAAAGGCTGTGCCWGACTGGTACTTACTCATCCACCTCGTCCTTGGTGCGGTTGGTGAAGAGGAGCCCCACCTCCCCTCTCAGGTGTTTGCTGACCTGGAACAAAGGAGCATCCATGGGGATCRGGGAGCACTGGGGACTCACCTGCAGGGCTCAGTCCTGCAAAGCTCCACCCACAACAGACCCTTCATGGCAGGACATGGATGGCTTCAATTAAAATACCCACAGAACAGTGATGATGGGATGTTATTCCAGGATGTGCAATAAGCCAGGTGGGGCTTTAGGACACCCAGAAGAACCCTCAGCAGTACCTTGTGCAGGTTCTCCTTGTACTCGCTGCTCGGCTCCCGGCCCAGTGCCACCATCATCACTTTGTTCTTCCCGAAGAAGATCCTGCCCAGGAGCAGGAGGAGGAGGATTTCAGCCTTGGAGCTCACCCCCTTGGGCATCCCAGCCCTGCACCGCACCCCTGCCCACCTGCTGTGCTTCCAGGCGTTCCGCACATCCTTCAGCTTGTTGTTCCTCATGTTGGCCACGGAGAAGACGAAGATGTACTTGTAGGTGTCCACACAGCGCCGCAGCTGCGAGGGAGCCGTTACCGGGACAGGGACGGGCACAGAGCACGGGAGGAATGGGGAGGAGAGGGAAAGGGGAGAGGGGCCCGGGCACGGGCCAGACTCACCTCGGTGATCAGCGCCTGCTTGGCCTCCAACCCCTTGCGGGGCGTCCGCGTCAGGGACACTGCGGGGAGCGGAGCGGGGAGAGGTCAGGGCGGGATGGGGAAGGGGATGGGATGGGGAAGGGGACAGGGGTAGGGATGGGGATAGGAACGAGGGATGGGGATAGGAACGAGGGATGGGGATGGGAAAGGGACGGAGAAGGCGACGGGGATAGTGAAGGGGGTGGGGAGAGGGAGTTCCCGGGCAGGGTGTCCGGGATTAGGGGTGCGGGGGTCCCGCTCCCACCTTTGCGGTCCCGCTTGGACTTGGGCTGCCGGGAGCGGGCGGGGCTGCCCCGCGCGCTGCCTGCGCGCTCCCCACGGCGCTGGCTCCTTTTCCCCGCACAGGCGGCGGCGCGGGCAGCCCCGCGGCTCCGAAGGTCCCCCGGGCGCCGGGGCCGCTGTCATGGCGGCGCGGCCGCGGGCGCTGCAGCTGCTGCTGGTCCTGGTGCCCTTGGCCGCCGCYGTCTATGAGGACCAAGTGGGCAAGTTCGACTGGTGAGCGCCGGGTATCTCGCCGGGCTGGTTCCCCGCTCCCGCGGGCAGGCCGCGCGCTTGCTGCGCCGCTCCCGCCCCGGTCCCCTCTCASCGACGCTCCCATTCCCTCTCGCAGGAGGCAGCAGTATGTGGGGAAGCTCAAGTTCGCCTCCCTGGAGGCCTCGCAGGGCTCGAAGAAGCTCGTCGTGGCCACCGAGGAGAACGTGGTGGCCGCCCTGAACTCCCGGAGCGGCGAAATCCGTGAGTGCGGCCGCTTTGGGGMCGAGGGTCACTGCGGTTGTGCTGGTTTTTCCTGCGGAAAGGTTAACGCTGCTGGTTGTGCCTTGGCGGGCGGGAGGGTTGAGCCGGCAGGTCAGAGCTCTGCCTTAGGGCTGACTCTGTGAGCGGCTCAGATTTAAAYATAATGACACAGAAATGCCTTAGTGAGGACAAACGCCGCTCTCCCATGGTTCTGTTTCTCGCAGTGTGGCGCCATGTGGACAAGGGCACCCCGGAAGGAGCCATCGACGCGATGCTGATCCATGGGCAGGGTAAGGCTGGCAGCACTCCTGGAATGTGGAGCCGGTGTTGGAGCACAGATTGGACCTGCAGAACCCATCCCTTTGTTGGTGGGTAGGAGCTCTGTGTTCATTCCCCTCTCCCCTCCCTTCCAGATGCCATCACAGTGTCCAACGCTGGGCGGATTCTGCGCTCCTGGGAGACCAACATCGGGGGCTTGAACTGGGAGACCTCCCTGGACACTGGCAGGTGGGGTTACCTGAATGCATGGGGGTTTTCTCCTTGTAGTGCTGCTCTGGGAAGGAAAAAAATGGATCATGGTCTTGGTCTGGACTTACATTGTAGAGAAAGGTTAGCCAGATATAAAGTTTCCAAAGCAAATTTAGGAATGCCTGAACATTGTACAGAATCACAGGTTGGAAAAGCCCTCCCAGGCCATTCAGTCCAAGCTGTGACTGATCCCCACCTTGTCCCCAGCCCAGAGCACTGAGTGCAACATCCAGGCCTTCCCTGGACACCTCCAGGGATGGACACTCCAAACCTCCCTGGACAGCCCCTGTGAAGGCCTGAGCACCCTTTCCATGGGGAAATTCCTCCTGATACCCACCTTTAACCTCCCCTGGCCCAGGCTGAGGCCATTCCCTCTTCTGTTCTCTGGGAGCAGAGCCTGACCCCTCTGGCTGTCCCCTCCTGTCAGGGAGTTGTGCAGAGCCACAAGGTCCCCCCTGATCCCCCTTTTCTCCAGGCTGAGCCCCTTTCCCAGCTCCCTCAGCCGTTCCTGGTGCTCCAGACCTTTCCAGGGTAAAATAGGAATGTAATTCCCTAATTTCTTGTGCCTGTGCTCAGTTTCCAGGGAGCTGCCCTGGTGGGGCTCCCAGAGGCAGTGAAGTACGTGGCTGTGCTGAAGAAGGCAGCCCTGTCTCTGCACTACCTGTCCAACGGGCACCAGAAGTGGGTGGAGCAGCTGCCAGAAAGGTGAGAACACCTTCAGGGAGAGGTGTGAGCCCTGGCAGGGAGCCTGGCACAGGGCACAGGGGAGGGGGCTGCACCTGCCTTGTGCTGCTGCAGCCAGCAGGGTAAGGAGGTGATGCCTCATGGCTGCTGCCTSTCTTGCAGTGAGAGCACTCAGTACCAGCTGCTGTATTCCCGGGGCACTGGAGTGATCCATGTGCTTGGCATYGTTCCCCAGAGCCACCTGAACATCTTGACGTTCAATGTAGAAGATGGAGAAATCACAAAACAGGTAATGGGGCTGGCTAAAATGCTGCATCTGAGGTTAACAAACTTGCTCCCAGCCCTGTCATGTGCTGGGTAGAGGAGTCAGCTGCTGTTTTGGTAAAAAGAACTCTCCCTTTCCCTGAGACATTACCTTCAAACCAGGCATTTTGTGGCTCTGAAAGCCAAACTGAATTGGAGTGGCAGCTGTCAGGCAGGATTACCCCACAGCCCTCAGGGTAGGGCTAATTCCTCCAATTATGGGTAAAAATAATCATGGGGTTGTTTAGCCTGGAGAAAAGGAGACTCAGAGGTGACTTTATCACTGTCTACAACTGCCTGGAAGGTGGTTGYAGACAGGTGGGGTCGGTCTCTTTCTCCAGGCAGCACGTGGCAGAACAAGAGGACACAGCCTTGAGCTGCACCAAGGGAAATACAGGTTGGATATTAGAAAAAAGTTCTTTACAGAAAGAGTGATAAAGCATTGGAATGGTCTGCCTGGGGAGGTGTGGAGTCACCATCCCTGGATGTGGTTAAAGAGAGATTGGATGTGGCCTTTGGTGCCGTGGTTTAGTTGAGGTGTTGGGCGTGGGTTGGGCTCAAAGATCTTGAAGGTCTCTTCCAAGCCTGGTGATTCTGTGATTTAAATTGCTGTTTGTGTCCCTGCTGGTTGTGTGAAGGCTGAGCACTGCTGAGCCTTGGCTCTGTGTGTCTGTGTCTCTGTGCAGGTGAGGGTGGCAGCCCCATGGCTGCGGGACCTGCGGGGCTCCTGTGCCGTGGTGGGCGAGGCTGTGCTGCTGTGCCTGGACACTGCCACACACTCACTGCACTCCTGTGCCCTGGACACTGAGCAGGACATGAGGCACATCCCACTGCAGGTGAGCTGTGCTGGTGCCTTGRTTGGCCAGTTTCAATMATGACACAGACAYGGTTAAGGGGATAAAAAGGGTTTTATCTCAGTGTTTGGGATCCCAGGTGCACAGCTCGATGGAAAATGGACACCTRTGTATAGCACAGAYACAAGTTTTATAGATTTCAGKAATTAGCATATCTATYTAGRATTCTCCAATRAGAAATTTAACAAATGCAGTAATGTCCCCCTMTTCTAAAGAMCCCACCCTGGATGAGRCCAGARCCCAGTTTACACAAGATGTTCYGGACAGAAGGYRTCACCCAAGGCTGGAGCCTCAGGTTTAAGATAGCACAGAGCAYRCTGACCCYTTCCTGAGRATRTTTGGTYTYTCTGGCCAGCAGAACTCCTAAACTAAGCTGGAATATCAGGCTGCAGRATTACAAGCATACAGGCWAAGGATACAGCGGGATGCATAAAGGGTACTGAAAATGTATTAAAGGGTCAAAAGAATATTAAAGGGTACATAAAAAGGAAAGGCAAAAATCATCAGGCATCAGTGCTGCAGGAACATTCCCTGGAATTCCTTGCCCAGCTGATCTGGTGCCTGACCCAGCCTGTTGGTGAACTGGAGAATGGTTAGAAGTGGGGGATCRTGATCTATAAACTGAGGGAGAAGTGGGAAAGCTTTTTATCTGTTATTCCTTCTGGATTGATGTCTTCAGGGCTTTGCTCCAGAGGAGCTTGGGCCCCCCTGCTCTTGCTCTGTGCCCTGACCCCAGGAATCTCTTTCTGCTGCTGAGGAAGGAAGGTGTTGGTCTCAGTGAAGAGCAGCTCTCCTGTGCTTGTGTCCCTTGCAGTCCCTGGAGCTGGAGTTTGCAGATGACTTCCAGGCCAGGATCTTGGCTACCCAGCCCAGTGTGACTGGTGCCTCACGGACTCAGTTCTTCCTGCAGCTGTCCCCRAGCCACTTCTCCCTGCTGCAGTACAAGCAGGGGCTGCTCAGCCACCTCCGGGACTTCCAGCAGGTACTTGAGACAGATGGACCAGGGAGAGGGCCAAGGACAGCTGAAAATCCTTCAAACTCTTGGGCCAGCTGGCAGGTTTTAAAAAATCTCAGTAATTCTGGGCAGAATGACTCAAAAACCTGTGTCAAGTCAAGTGTTTGCATCTTTATGAGAAGTCGTTTCAGTCTTGTTTCTTTTGTTGTTGGGGTTTCTTTGGTTGTTGTTTGGTTTTGGGTTTTGAGGGTTTTTTGTTTTTTTTTTGGTTTTGGGTTTTGAGGGTTTTTTGTTTTTTTTT